CAAATAACAATCAATTATCATCCAGGAGGTAAGTCTTGCGATAAAATTTCTCATGAGAATCTTCGAATTACTGGGAAATATAAAGAATTCTGGTCAGAAAGGGGTTCAGAAAAGGGGTAGATGTAAGTATTCAATTCAATTTGAAGGCCAAACCATTGACTGGAGAGTATGGATTTATACTTATTAAGCTTTGACCTGTGACTTTTTCTGAGTCATGAAAAACACTCACTGAAAGAGTTTTGTTCTGAATGGGAGTAGATTCCCAGGGGTTTATGAGGATCATATATGGGGGGAGAAGAAGCAGCCAATTGAGTGCCTGGTGGTAGCAAAAGGCTCACCTCAGTTTTCCTTGAGTTCATCCAATATGAAGGTTCAAATAACAATCAATTATCATCCAGGAGGTAAGTCTTGTGATAAAATTTCTCTCCACATAATTAAATGCACAATAACAAAGTCTCAGAACAGTGGCAATCTGTATTGTTAGTATTACCCCGGAGTCCCCGCACAGTTGTTAAGCCCAGCAGGAAGCCTTTAAACTAAAAGCACTTAATTATATTGAAAAAAGGCATGAACTGACTCCATTTAAGCCAGAGATTCTCAAGAGTGATGCCGATAGCTGTCCTTGATTGAGGGTCTGCTGTGTTCCATGAACTACATTAGACAGTCTAGACGTAATTTCCATTAGCTCACAATAACCCAGGGAGCTGGGCATTGCTTTACCAGTAACTAGTTTGATGTTGCCTAGATCTACAGTACGCTGAAAAGGATAGGTTTTACAACGGTAGATACAGCCTGGGAACGTGGGGACTTGCCAGGTGCTCCTGGTCATGTCTAGCACATGAGCATCCATTAAGTGAATGAATGGTGGGATACTTGTTGACCGTTCACAGGCTAAAAGCTGGGAGGAATACAGAAAAAGAGATTTGTGGCTTATAGGGAAATTAGGACATCTGTGTATAAAGAACCAATCCAGGTGGAAGTAAAAAAACAAAACAAAACAAAAATTGTCATACATTTTCATATATTTGACATAAAGTTTGTAGTAGGAATTCAGTAAATGATGAATTATTAAATAAATGAATGAAATCAGACAACCAACTGACCAAATGCTAGATTGTGTGGTCCTGACTGTGAGAACAACAATAGTCTAGAGAAGAAAAGCTCATTCTGAACGTGGGTAGTAGATTTCCCGAATGAGATGAGATCTGAGAATGATCAGAAATATCCTATACAATAAAAGCCTAATATGCTAAGTGTCTGACCCTTTGTTTGACTATTCAACCAGTTGCTATGACATGCACTGACCACCAGGGGGAAGACCAGTAGGTTAACTTGCTGCTGGGGTCCAGCTGATCAGGACTGAGCGAGACAGGCTGGACATACCCTGGAGCCCTCCCACGGTCTCTCCCTGGCCCCAATGGTGCACCAGTGGGATCCCTCTGCCTGGCCTGCGGGGATCAGGCTGAAACCGGCTCTCTGACATCCCCCGAGGGGTTCTGGATTGTGAGAGGGCACAGTCCAGGCTGAGGGACCCCACCGGTGCACAAATCTGTGCACCGGGCCTCTAGTTGGAATTATAAAGAGGAACTGAAGTCACATTGTGTAGAAGGAATACCGTGAGCAAGTGCAGAACTTTTGCCCCACCCCCTCTATAGCTCCAGCTCCCCACCCTCCCTCTCAGCCTTCTGTGTTGTACTCATCTGCTCTGTTCTCATTTGCCCTCCTCTTGAGCTCTGTCCAGCTGGTTCTTAGAGTGCCTTGAAGCTGGCACTGACTTTGCTACAGCATCTTTGAATCAACAAGGAATGCCTCTGCCCTTTGGTGGGGAGTAGAAAACAAACAGATTTTGTCCTATGGAAGATTCTAGGCCAGCCGTGGGCAAACTACTGCCCGCGGGCCGGATCCGGCCCGTTTGAAATGAATAAAACTAAAAAAAAAAAAAAGACCGTACCCTTTTATGTAATGATGTTTACTTTGAATTTATATTAGTTCACACAAACACTCCATCCATGCTTTTGTTCCGGCCCTCCGGTCCAGTTTAAGAACCCATTGTGGCCCTCGAGTCAAAAAGTTTGCCCACCCCTGCTCTAGGCCTTCTGAAGCAAAGTAATAACTATGCTAAATGAGGCAGAAATCATGATGATCCTGCTCCCTAACAGCTGCAAAAAGGGCTTCTCGTGGAGATTTTGGCATTTGGGAGACCCTCTCAAGACTTCCAGAAAAACATTCCTAGCAGGTCTTCACAACCACCTTTCAACTCCCTAGTGCTTCTGCCCCAAAGTCAAGGCCAACATAACACAAACTCCTCAGACTTGGGTGACAGGATGTCCACACAAAGCCCAAGGTTCCTTCATTCACTGAGGTCTGGTTTCCCAGGGATCACAAAAACCTTCTAGCCTAGGTTTCCTGAACCGTTTCCAGCTCGGCTTCTGTCAGACAGTCTTGGAGTTGGAGCCACTCTATACTGTCTCTTGAGAGGAGATGATGGTAACCTCCATCTGACCGATTGCTTTTTTCACTCTGAAAAAGGATCTAGCACCATATATGATTCTGTTTCCAAGTCCTGTCCTCTTTATTCTATTTCTCAGGAACAATATGCGACACTAGGAGCTATGCCCAGCAGCAGCTCTGCTTTTCGGAAACAGCTCGCTTTGCGAGTGGAAAAAGTGATCTCGCTATTTCCAGGTTGAGCGACAGCCTCTGTTTTGTTACTGCTCTCGAACCAGCTGTCACCCTGCTATCTCACAAAAAAGACAGCTGTTCAACTCTGTCAGTATGCAATGCCTTGCATTCCAAAATGGCGTGCCAACCCTTCAAGTGCAGGGGAAGCTCACAGCAGATCCTGAGAAAGAAGGAGAATCCAGTAGGACGTTGAACTCCTGTGTGTGTGTGTGGGGGGGGGGGGGGGGGGAGTGTAAGGTGGAGGTCCAAATTCTGCAATTCTGCAGTGGGAAATCCTGGCTTGAGATTCTGGTGCTAGTCTTTTTTTCTTAAATATGTTTTTATTGATTTTAGAGAGAGAGGAAGGGAAAGGGAGAAGAGATAGAAGCATCGGTGAGAAAGGAACATCGATCCACTGGCTCCTGCACATCCCCTACTGGGAATCAAGCCCGCAACCTGAGCACGTGCCCTGACTTTGAATTGAACTTGTGACCTCCTGCACAGGTCGATGCTCAACCACTGAGCCACACCAGCCAGGCTCTGGTGCTAGTCTTAATAAAAGACTTTCTTACGAGGGCTGAAAGATATCTTTTTCCCCTCTGGGACTTAAAAAACATGGGTCTACAAATCCAAAATTTTGATGGCAAAAGTCTTGCCTTTTTAAACATAATATTAAATGTAAAAAAACACACACCCAATCATAGGAACAGAACGATAATGTAGGAAAAAGCTATATGGATCGAAGGAAACACTTTTGGTTACCAAGGCCACAGCATCTACTGCGTTGATTATACAGCTCACCAGTTTCACTTCCTGTCTCGGGTATTATTTCCTGGTAACAGTGGGGGAAATGTCCCAGCACTGACAGGCCAGCTTTCCCTGAAGTTAGCAGATTGCCTGCATGTGCCAGCCCTCCACCGAAGAAGGAGCAGGTTCAGGACCTGGCACCGGGCAGCCGAGTGGCACTGCTCCCAGAACACTCATCCACTAAACAGCCATTGAGGGGTCTGGACCCTGCAATGTCCAGGACAAATGACTAAAATGAAAAGCACAATGCATGTGAGTGGAACCAGAAACTTGAATGGAGTCCTAATCACTGCCTTAGTATAGATCACATTATTTTTTTATGTAACTTCATTCTGTAATCCTGTCATTGTCTAGTGTAATAGTATAGATTTCCATTTATCTGTTGATAAGTGAGAATGATTACTATGATGACCGTTAAGTGATTTGGTTACTAGCATTGGTGGGGAAGAGAAGTGGAAAATTGTTAGGAGGGTGGGGGGTGGGAAGGGACCGCCAATCACCAGGAAGAGACAAAACATCTGAAAAGAGAAAGATGTGCTGATTCTCTACCCGTGATCAATACAGACTGTTTGTTCAGTTACTGGGAAATTTGAGATAGGACCTACTGGTGTAAGGAAGGAGATCTAAATCAGGCCAGGGCTTTAAAATACCTATGATTTCTATGTAAGAATGAGGCCTGAGGCATGAAGGAGGGCCACGGATTAGGGGTAAAGGTCTAGATTAAGGGCATCTACACTGCAGCTGACACCCAATTGTTGAGTTTCAGGTCCCACAGACTGGAGATCTAGTGCTTAGGGCCAAATACTGAGGGGGTGGGAGGAGTCAGGGTGTTAGTTCAGGCTGAGCCATGATTTCCATCTGGTGACCTGAAATGACTTTTTATAATACAGCCAACCTCACTACAAAAAAAAAAAAAAAAAAAAAAAAAAAAAGATGTGTTCTCAGCTGAGCTCTCTCCAATGAATAAATAGGAGGGGACAGTTGAATTAGATACCAAAGACCAATGAAAAAACTCCCTTTCAGCTGGTCCAATTTACTGCATTCCATCTGCCTCGGTCTTAGGACCAGGATTTCCTATCTCTGAGCCAGTTATATTTTTCAGCTAATCGGTTTTGACCAAAAATATAGTCTGTCTCAAATAAGCTTCTTTCCTTACGATCTGGAACTTGGAATTGGTCACCATTTTTTAAACAGTGTAACTTTAACTACTGGTCAATAGCCAGATGTCTATACATGAATCACTTGAATAAAAACACCCCCAATATCTACCAAAAGATACAACTATTTCAACAAAAAGGCCATTTAATTCCATGCCTTTTTCATTCAATTCAATTTGTTTTTATTCATCATATTGAAACAGTGAGGTTCCACCTCAGTAAGTAGTCAACAATGCCAATAGATTGTTTTAAATGTCTGTCAGTGGTTCCCTTCAATTTATGATTATGCCTTTGTAGCAGGTAGCTTGCATCTGGTTGAAAATACATATTTCTTTCAGTAACTGAGAATTAAATTCTCACATGTTATCAACTCACCAGAATTGAGCAAAATGATGGATTTGAGGCACACAAACTCCTCTCCCTGGAGATTCATCATACGAAACCGAGATGATGTAGCCAGCAACATGTCAAAGATCTCCACCATGCCCTCTACACATTTTCCCTGGTTCCTATGAAAATGCAGGGAAAAAAAGTATTAAAGAACATAGAAGTTCCAGAAGGTATGATAAGGTTCACATTCATAAAAATCTGCTGGCTCCAAATCTGTATCAAAAAACTGTAGCCATTCTGTTTATGGAGCATGAACGTTCATTTGAATTCTAGGAAGCAAGGCAAAAAGATTTCCCACGAATAAACCATTTTCATTTCAAATATTCATTCCCCAAATATGTATGTTAATTATAGCATTCTTCAACCTATAGGTAATAAAAAATTATTAAGATTGAGGTAAATGATTTTTCTAATATTTTTTATCTGTTCCTATATTCTAGATATTGTGGTAGTTATGGGAATAAAAACAGGGCCTCCACCCCGGCCGGTGTGGCTCAGTGGTTGAGCATCGACCTATGAACCAGGATGTCACGGTTCGATTCCGGTCAAGGCACATGCCCAGGTTGTGGGCTCGATCCCCAGTGGGGGGGCATGTAGGAGGCAGCCGATCAATGACTCTCTCTCATCATTGATGTTTCTATCTCCCTCTCCCTTCTTCTGTGAAATCAATAATTAAAAACAACAAACAAACAAACAAAAAAACAGGGCCTCCAGTTTCAATATGTTCATGGCCTTGAAATAACATAATCAAGTATAACAGAGTTATATAGAGTGCTTTTGAAGTAGAGAAGAAACTGAAAATTATGGGCTCTAGCTGAACTGGAACTATTGATGTTGTTGAGGATGACAGGTGAGAATTTGCTTAGTAGGTGGCATTTGAGGTAATACTTTAAGAGAATGTAGAATTTCACTGAAAACATCACTGGAAGAAGGCCCTAAATGTGGAAAGGAGGAACAAATGAAAGAATATTGAGCAGTGTGCTAGAAAGAGATAGATTAATGTGAGAAAGAAGGAAATGGTCAGGTGAAGAAGAAGGTCCTACATCATTATAGGAAGTTTAGGCTTTTCCCTATGCAACAGAGCCTTGGCATCAAGAATTTAACATTGATAACATAACATGTAATTCATCACATGTAATATTTTAAAAATAAATTACTATCTTAGTGTCACTTGTATATAATTGTTGCAGAAATTAAATTAAATGATATATGGAAAGGAACTCATTCATCTTTTTGTTCACAGGCTCAATTTGGGGCATGTTGTAATCAAGAAGGACAGGAAGAAGTTAAAATAGTCTATTCATATGCAAAGATATATTTGTGAAATATATACAAATTTAAAACATAAACACTAAACACATTGCCCAGTATCTTTTTTGTTTTGTTTTCAATTAAAATATCTTGAAGTTCTTCCTCAACTGTTTTTAAAAACTACATAGTTTTTCACCAGGAAAAAAAAAAAGCTGTGATTTCTTTAACCACTTTTTTATTGGCAGACATTTAGTTTGATTTCTATTATTTTGCCATTACAAACAGCTCCTGCAATGATTACCCTTATGCTTACATCTTTGGGCACATCTATAGATAGCTATAGAATAAATTCCTAGAAGTAGAATCACTATATCAGAGGAGTATTTTTAAAACTTTGATAAGTAGTTCAAAAATTGCTTCCAAAGAGCTTGTACCAACAGGCTGTTGGTAGGAGAATATATTGGTATAAGCTCTTTCTCTGAGAGGTCTCCTTTTTCTCTTGGATATTAGTCATGTTCACATTGATTCTTAAGAGCTCTTTATATATTGTAATAGTTATCACTTTGTTCTATGTGCTCTCAATGGTTTTTCTAATGGTTTGTCCTGTTTTCTTTTGACTTGGTTTCTGGTATTTTCTTCTGCAAACATTTAATCTAATTAGACCAGATGTCCAAAGGCCTACTCTTGCACGAATTTCGTGCATCAGGCCTCTAGTCATTACATAAACATATTTATCAAACTGTTCATTTATGGCTTTAAAATAACATGTCTTGCTTGAAAAGGTCATTCTCCCTTCCAGTAACATAAATAAAATATTTCTGTCTTATGTTTCTTTCTAGTATAGTTCTAGTATATATTTTTATGTTTAAATCTTTGTTCTTCTGGATTTTATTTTTTATAAACACTTTATTAAGATATCATGACTTATCAAAGAATCCATTTAAAGTGTACCATACAATAGATTTTAGTAAATTTCTATAGTCGTGAAACTATCATTTGATACTTACTTTGATGTAAGATGTGAGACAGGGATTCAACTTACTATTTTTCCCAGGCAGCTAGTTAGTTTTCTTAACACCTTTATGGAATAAACCATCTTTAACGCGCTGACTTGACATATGCTAGTACTTTTGATAAAATTTATTTACTTCTTACAGCTGCCCCCTAAGGTTGGTATTATTATTTCCACTTTCCAAATAAGGGAATTAGGTCTCAAAACTGTTAAGTCAAACCACACCACCTACACCAGAAGAAAGAATTCCAATAAGATTTTCTCTGTCTCCTTGTCTTGCTTCACTTTAAGTCATTCAAAAAGACAGATTGAGGGCCCATTACACCAGGCTTTGAGCTAGGCATTAGGCATAGGCCTCGTTAATATGAAGACCCAGAACAGAGACAAAATAGACAAGGAGAAAGACAGGTGTAGCACAACGGGATGCATTCCCCAAAAAAGGCCTAGAAAGTCTCTTCCAAATAATGTCAATCTCCCCAAGTTTAACCCACATCAATATTGAAGCAACTGTTTGAATATTCTTAGATAAAGATAAATGGGATTTTATATAAAGTGCTTAGAATGGTATGTGGCACACAGCAGGGTCTATATTTAACTATTAGTTATGGACTGATAAATCGATCCATAGATATCAAGGGAGAGGTTGGCCTTTTTACCTGAAGCACCCAGAAAACAATTGCTGTGGTAGATTTTGCTTTGACGGTGGAAATCCAGGTGTATGAAAGTTCTACATACCAGTAGGCGGAGGAAAACATTCAATGCTACCTTCCACAAGAGGAGGTGATAAGGTGGTCACACCCAGAGGTGAGTTGGCCTTAATCAGACAGAGAATACTAGAAGTGAGTTTTTCTTGTCCTGTAGTTGATTTTTTTTTTTAAGAAGCACATTTTCTTTCTAGTGAAAAAATAAACAAGGAGAGGGAAAAGGGTTTGGAGGATAAAGCTTTAAAAATAACAACTAATAGCCAAAATAGAGAAACGTTCCTTTCTCAGTGTAACGTCTGTTTACTTCACAGACTGCACAACGGCAGGGGAGCAGCTCTCAGTGTGGGAGGGAGCTGCGCTCACCTGCTGTGAGCAAAAGTTCAGCTCAGAAACTGAGAGTGGAGTCTTAACTGTTCTCTGTTCTTCTGGTCCCTTTTCAATAGTCTCCCACATTTTCTCCTGAGAAGCTTGTTCTTAACCCTTTCAGCAAGAGAGCATTCTTCTCAGCTTCTTCCCACTGCATAGCCTGTGATTTCTCCCCATCATACCTGTCCACAACACAATGCTTGCTCTTCAGCACAAACTGGGAGCCATAGACTGGGTATGGCGCATCCCTAAAGGTTCTGTGTGTGTGGTGGTGGTCCTTTAGAGGGCGCAGAGGGCACACACCTTAAGTATAAATCATTGAGACATTTACAGTGGTTCTCAACCTTCTGGCCCTTTAAATACAGTTCCTCATGTTGTGACCCAACCATAACATTATTTTCGTTGCTACTTCATAACTGTAATGTTGCTACTGTTATGCATCGTAATGTAAATATCTGATATGCAGGATGGTCTTAGGCGACCCCTGTGAAAGGGTCGTTCGACCGCCAAAGGGGTCATGACCCACAGGTTGAGAACCGCTGTGCTAGGAGGACCTGGGGCTTGCTTCCATGCAGAGCGAAGTGCTTCATGTTTGCTGCTGGGAGTCTCAACTTTGAGGGCGCCTGGGAGAATATTTATTCCGCTGAAGTCCCTAGTTTCTAAGGGTTCTCTAAAAGTCTACAAGAACTTTATGTTGTCTCCATAAGACTAAATCCACTATTCTTTCCATGGGAAAAACTCCCTTGGTCTAAACACTTTTGGTATAATAAATAAGTGCTATGTTCTTTGTTGACCCTGATGATCTTTTTAGTAAATCACTACATGTTGCCCACATGGAAATGACTGACTGATGATGTGGTATCTGTAGGTCCCTCATTAGCAGTGTCACAGGTGAAAGGGCTTGCCATGTGAGCCAGTGAACAGGTGACCAGGAACCCTAAGATCAGGAACAAATCCATGTGGGCCTTGCTGGGCGTTCAGACACTTGATACCTGCCCAACACAGAGGAACCCTTTACCATCTGTCCACTGAGGTCATTACACCTTGGGGTCAGGGCTTCCTTGTTGAAATGCTGCCAAAATATTCTATCCTAACCTCAGGGAGCCATTCAGACCAGAGAATTAACTCAATTTCAGATGGAACAGATGAATCAACAGCATCAGACATGGGTTGACTACTGAGAATCTGGTGGTAACATGACTAAGTAATGTAAAAATTGGTCTAAATCCACGAGGTGCTCCTGAGGCTGAGAAATACATGGGGTATGGAAGAACAAGATTTATTTTTGAAGAAAGAACAGCTTTAGTCATATATCAGGAGTAGTTTAGCAAGCGGCCCAGCCTTGGACTCCAACTGTGAGACGTGACAGCCTGCAAGGATGAAGCCCTCCACCAATTACATCAGGTGTTCAGAGCATCTTAGAATCCCCTAGTGGGGAAACCTTGTTCTGCTCTTTGTCCTCTTCAAATACAGTCTATTTGCACTTAAGCAATGGGGGTGGGGGGTGGGTTTTTTGGAGGAGTGTGTAGGGGGGAGGAGGGTTTGCAAGAGCATTTGTTTATGCAATATCCTCAAAGTTTCTTCTCTATAGAAATGAAAGCCTGTTTATCAGAAGCCCTTAGGTACTTATTCCTCCACCTGGGAAATAAAGAGCTCTAATGAGGGTGTGCAGATCAAACCTGCCCTTATATATCTTCAAAAATAATCTTACAAAATGGAAAGCTACCCCTTAGTCTCTCTTTATGGACAGGAACAAACAAACAGAAAGCCCAGGAGATCAACATTT